TAACATACTACACGGACGGATCCGTGGATCCAATAAACCATACTGCAGGCGCCGGTTTTGCAACAAAGGATACCACAGCATCCATTAGGGTCACTGACAATGCCTCAATGCTCCAAGCTGAAACGGTTGCGATCATGGAGACCCTGACACACGCGTCCTTAAGGGCAGGACACGTCATTCACACAAATTCAAGAGCAACTATTGACAGACAGATTACAGCATAGCATGCCCCTTGACAACATCTACCTCTTGGCAACAGTACTAACCATAGCCCAAAGAATCCTCAGTCAAGGTAGAAGAATTATCATTAACTGGGTCCCAAGCCACATAGGCATACCGAGCTTATTGACAAACTAGCTGAAAAGGGCAGGGGTATGCCCCCATCCTCCATGATCGTTAAAACCCAGCCGAAGGGATAAGCCAAAGCGTGTGCGGGTCCTCCGGGGAGCACATAGAGAAAATGTCACAAAATCGCTCGCTGCCAAGTGGTACTCAGATGCTTCAGGCTATGAGCCACTGGCCCTTCCTCCAAACACAAAAAGAGGTACCGAAGTCATACTATTCAGACTAAGACTAGGTTACCAATGCGCTTGGCAAATTATTGACAATGAGACTGCCAGGTTATGCAAACACTGCGGCGAGCCTAACGCCACCCTGTTACGTTACTTGCAGAATTGTGTACACACAATTTCTCAGGCAGGGACCAGCCACCACAGCCGCCAGGCTGGTAAAACGGGTCTGTAACATGCTTACCCCGTGGCAGCTGGATCACTTGCTCACAATTCAGCCACCGCGATAAGCATGCAGTTCAAAGAAACTATCTGAGTTAACTAGAAATAGTTAACACAGGCCGGGCCACTCCAGAGAAAAGGCCCGGGCGAAGCATGACTTCGCAAATCTAACTGAACCTCCAACTTTCACTTTCTTGTCCCTTCTCCAACCCCTTCTGCTATCTACTTCCTAAGTGTAAGAGCTGTGCTGAAAGGATGAAAGGCTAACCTTGTGCCACTCCTGAACAGCCTGCGGGAACCATGGGCAGGGTACTCACCTGATTTAATTGTCTAGCCCTCAAATTCATCAACTCTACCCCCAACCTTCATCAAGCACCCCATCCTCCCTTATTACTACCTTACAGCCTTATTCTCCATCACTCGTAATACTCCCTCTTCCACACGTCCCCGACCATCCACCACCAACCCTACAGATATCTTAAATACTCTGTTTAGCCCAGCTAAATGGGACCGATTTTTCGTGATCCCTTCTACAGCTCCTTACTCAGGCAACACTCTTCTCTTTCAACAATGCCTCCAAAAACAAGTAGGCAGAGTCCCTTTCTATACCAGACGCGATCGCTCCCGTTGTAACAGTCAGATCAGAAACTGAATCTATAGCACTATCAAATTTAACTGATCATTCTGGCAACCCCATTCCTGCAGAACCTCATCCAACCCTTAATACTGTACCGGAACTGTCTCTCTCTCCCCAGCAAACTGCCCAGTCGATACCAAAGATTGGTCAGACTGTGGAGAAGACTTATTAGGATGCCTCAAAGACCAAGATGTGAAATCAGTACATTGCTACACCATTCCTCCTAAAGGTCAACGAAAGAATCCGACAATATTGCCAAAATTTTCTATACACATGACCTTCCCTTACGTATCTACATTGGTGGACAATCCCTCCCTGTTCGACCATACCAACCCCTCCCCATCAATGTCAAAACTGTTGGCGCTTTGGACATCCTGCCAAACATTGCCGTTCCACAGACCGATGCCCCATATGTGCCCAACCTGGTCATAATCGATCAAACTGCTCAGCACAAACACGAACATGTGCTAACTGCGGCGGCCCCCATAATGTATTTTATAGAGGCTGTCCCACTTACAAGTTTGAATCTGAGGTAGCAACTCTCAGATACAAAAATGTCTCACTTTACGTGAAGCCAGACAGGAAGCACGTCGACAAGGTTTCTCTCATACTCCATACTCTATAACATCGCTTGCTCTGCCCTCCCTCTCCACCCAAGATGTCCCACATCCACTTCTACATTCTACTCTCTCAGACAATTCTTTGCCACTCTAAATCCAGACACCCCAATCTCAACCACAGCTCCAATCTCAACTACTGCCCCAACACCATCCCCTCCCCCCCCCCATCCCTTGCCCGTTGTTGTCGTGGGGGGGCTTAGGAGACGGAGACCAGACCCAATGCAGTGATTCTCCCCTGCCTAGGGCCTCAGCCCTCGACTCAACTAATTTTGCATGGTCTTTTCCCCTCCAGCTTTTTGTTTCCGTCCCTTCTCCAACCCCTTCTACTATCTACTTCCTAAGGTGTAAGAGCCGTGCTGAAAGGATGAAAGGCTGACCTTGTGCCAGTCCTGAACGGCCTGCGGGAACCATGGGCACGGTACTCCCCTGATTTAATTGTCTAGCCCTTACCCCTACAGGGGCACTGTTTTGTCCCTTTACATAATCAAGGCTTCCCATGGCCAGTAATGAAGATGTAATACCCCTATTAGGGGCAATGAGGCTTGCCCCTTCATCAAATAGCCACCGGCTCCCCACCCCAGGCTCTCCTTTGACCACGACTCCGAACACTGAAACTACTACCCACTCCTCAATGCCTACTAGTGCATTACCCACCCAAGCAGAGACTCAATCTCCAGAAGACATTCCTACCTCCCCAAATTCATCAACTCTACCCCTACAACCTTCTTCATCAAACACCCCAACCTCCCTTATTACTACCTTACAGCCTTATTCTCCATCTCTCCGTAATACTACCCCCTCAACAACACTCCCGCTTCCACACGCCCCCGTCCTTCTACCACCACCAACCCTACAAATATCTTAACTACTCTATTTAGCCCAGCTAAATGGGACCGATTTTTCGTGATCCCCCTACAGCTCCTTACTCAGCAACACTCTTCTCTTTCAACAATGTCTCCAAAAACATGTAGGCAGAGTCCCTTTCCTACCCGACGCGATCGCTTCTCACAACAGTCGATCTGAAGCTGAAGTTATAGCATTATCAAAACTAAGTGATCTCTCTGGCAACCCCATCCCTGCAGAACCTCATCCAACTCTTAATACTTGTACCAGCTGTCTCTATCTCCCAGCAAACTGCCCAGTCAATACCAAAGACTGGTCAGATTGTGGAGAATACTTACTCGGCTCCCTGAAGTCAAGCAGAAGTAAAATTATGTTGTGACATGTAGAATACAATACCAAGAAATTGACATGTCAGGGCTGTACTCAGTTTCACTGATAATTAAAAAATGCAGATCTTCTCCCTGTCATTTTCTAGTTCACACTATATCAGGAATACAGCAGATCTTGACCCACAAGTTGTGGACTGGCCTATGGTAAATCCATCTTTAAAACAATCAAATGTTTTGTTGAAAGTTAGCTGACCATGCACTGTTAACCAATTACAACAGTGGAATCCCTTTTCTGAGGAAGATCATGTTTGTGTCAAAATATAGAGATAACCTAATCACCATTTTTCAAAAGTTGGCAGCTCTGAGTCAGTCACTTAACCTTCAGTGAATATTGATTCTCCATATTTTCTACATGGATATGTGTTGCCCTGCATCAATCAGTGAGTAGATACAGCCTTTGAAATTACTAAAAAGTCATATGCCACAGCAAAAATGTAGACTGAAAAAACATATATTTCTGCTTTTCTAATTCTTCACTCTAGTGGGTGACTGCACATAGTGCCTAACATGTACTTAGTCCAGCATGTGTAAATGCCACAGGTTTGTGCAAGTAAGAGTTTTACATTTCTTCACCTATGAAAATGCATAACCATATTTAGTGATTACTTGAAACTATGGCATGTTGTCCACAGCACAATCAGCCATTACATTCTCCACTTTTTCTTGCACACCCTGTATACTCAATTGCACCAGGGTAGTGCATGGCAAGTTCTACAAAACAAAAGATAGCTGCATACAGACATATACAATATACTGTACATATATACAGATAAGGGTTAGATAAACTACATTTAAACTTTCTTGCTTCTGTAATCCACCTTTAGACTAGTTCTTGTTACAACTCTAGTACTGACACACAAAAAATACTTATTTTGTGGATAAAATAATGCCTTATCTGCCAATTAAAAGAAATAAGAAAAAATACCACAGATATAAACTGATTATCATTTACTGTGTGTGTGGGGGTGGGGGGTGCAAGTAAGTGTGAGTGTGAGTGTGAGTGTGAGTGTGAGTGAGTGAGTGAGTGAGTGAGTGTGTGTGTGTGAGTGTGTGTGTGTGTGTGTGTGTGTGTGTGTGTGTGTGTGTGTGTGTGTGTGTGTGTGTGTGTTGTGTGTGTGGTGTGTGTGTGTGTGTGTGTGTGTGTGTGAGTGAGTGAGTGAGTGAGTGAGTGAGTGAGTGAGTGAGTGGTGAGTTGAGTGAGTGAGTGAGTGGTGAGTGTGTGAGTGTGTGTGTGAGTGAGTGAGTGAGTGAGGAGTGAGTGAGTGAGTGAGTGTGTGTGTGTGTGTGTGTGTGTGTGTGTGTGTGTGTGTGTGTGTGTGTGTGTGTGTGTGTGTGTGTGTGTGTGTGTGTGTGTGTGTGTGTGTGTGTGTGAGCATGCCTATGTGAGTGTGTGTGAGTTCTACTTACCTTATTTCTTTTGTTCTTTACCATCCTTTTTTTTTTCTTAATAAAGTAAGTGGAATGTCAAAAATTTAGAGAGCACCACATCAAAATATGAGTAAAAAAAAATCAATGACAAAATTCATCACTGTAAAATAAGGGGGAAAAAGAAAAAAAAAAACGGGAATGACATGAACTGAGAAATTCCAATGATAATAAACTACCATAAGTGAACACAAAAATAAACTATAAACATGAATTATGAATACAATCCAACATAATGACCTGTTTAGTTTCTTACAATAAGTCTTAATATAGTCATCCTTAACCCTAAAAGGATGAAATATGGCTATTATCATTGCTAGTAAGTGTGAACACGGAGTGAAACAAAACAAAAATCTACAAAAGAGGTCAAATTATTTATACTACAAATTTCCATATTTGAAAGATCTTAGGTAAAATATATAAAAGCAGAGAAACCAGCAAACAATGCATTTTTCCTATCCAATAGCACATGAAGTTCTGAACTTTTTCATCCTTACTGAAGTTCATAATCAAGATTCAATAGCTTCCTTCTTTCATTTGTTTTAATCTCCCTGCACTGAAAGCTCATCAAAGTGAATTTTCTTTTCCTTTAATCCATGACATATTCCTAATTTTATGTATGGTCTATGTTTGGAAGATTTAAACATGGTGAAAAATCAGGAAGGTCTTTCAAGCCAAGCACCATCAGAAAAGGCATAAAAGTATTTTTTCACACATATAGTTTGAACATTGACACTAACCATGTCCCTGTTCAATGCATCAATAAAGGCACATGTATGGATGGTTACTGGGGACAAGAATAACAATAAAATAAATACTTAAAAAAACATGGCAGTCTTTTGTTACAGAAGCCTATATAATCAACAACGTTCACATCCTAGTACTTAATATCTTCACACACAAGTGCAAAAAAATAAGCAGTCACAGTGACATCTAAGTTTATAAAAAAAAATTGTGTTATAACACAAAATGCGCCATTCATTTTCTGTCAAAATATTACCTCATATAATTTATCTGAAGCAATCTTGAAGCTTACAACAATACTTGAAAATATTGAAATATAAAACTATTTTTTGTCATTAAAGCTATTACCCTCGCTAGAACATCACAGATTCATCAACCAGATTTTTTACTTGTTCACATCCAAAATATTCTACAATATTCCTCACCCACTCCATCAGGGTTTTTTTGTGATCCTATCTACTTATTATCTGAACAATATAATATTGATATCAATGTCCAGAGAAAATCTAAATCTCATCTCACTACTTGAAAATACCTTAATATTTCAAAAAAGCCACATTAAAAATAAGTCAATAATAAAAAAACAGTAAAACAGAACATTACAAGTCTACAGTATATTCACTTTAATATCTGCTTCTCTCCAAATCTTAATAATAAAGTGGTGTGTAACGGAACATCATTATTATGCCTACACCTGCCTCATACATATACTCATACACTTATTTAGATTGTAGATTTGACTTCAAAATCCAAATGCCATTATTATTGGTTGGCAAACACTATGTAATTTTTAAGAGACTCTCAGTCACTAAGAAATAGCATTATCACATTATCTTATTTAAGCAATCATATTAGGCAAGTCAATACTTAAATTTCCTATCTAATATGTTTTCTGTCTCTAAATTAACACAATTTACAAATCATTTGTGCAATTTCACTTGCTGCTAAAAATGTGTTTCATTCTATTCACATTTGTCTTAAACCTTTAGCTAGACATCTTAATAGTTATGCATAACACAATTAAACTATCTCAGTTATCCGACTTAAATAATATGCTTAAGCTATATCAAACTGAGAAAATCCAACTCAGAAATCATATTCACTAAAGTGTATGTATCACATGACTGAGATTGGAACTGAAAAAGAGGGAGGAGGACAATGGAGTGGATGTAAAATCATCTCCCACAGTACCCTAAATTTTACAAAGCCTTATGTGTGGCACACAAATTAAGGTTTCCATGCAAGTCTGCCAACCAATCAGTGAAATTCAGTTTCATAGGAAAAGGATTGCTGTCCAAAACATCTCACTTCATTGTCTAATTCAATAAATAGACATGTAAAGCACAAAGAGGGATAATGCAAGGTAATATATTCTGGAATAACTCTTATGAAAGACATGATCCAAAGGTGCAGACAAATATTTTGGCTTACAATTAAGCCTTCAAAAAGTGATAAATACATCAATAAACCTGGAAAAACTTGAGGCACATTATTAATCATAAACTACTGACAACTACTGAAAGTAGATCTTTGACATAATTTTGTTATGCAGCCTTACATAACTAGTCAATACTTGTCAATATCAAATATTGACTCCATAAAATTATTATAACTTTATAATTTTTCCTATTTTGCCATGACCATATCTGTTTTTCTCTTCAGAATGCTGGCACACTATACTGGCAAGGAGAATGGTAAATTACTCAAACAAATTATATTGAGACAAAGACATAAGTCCCTCTTCTCTGTCAACTCAATACTGTTAACCATGAGAAAGCAATGATTGCTATTATTTAACAGATAAACAAATTCTATTTCACTATGTGCAAGCACCCTAATCAGCTGTTTACCCTACAAGTCTCTGAATTTTACCATCCCTTTTGTATAATTTTTCCTTTCTTAGAGGTTGCCCTTTACAGGTGTTATTTCATAACTGAAAACAATAGTTCTGGAAGTGTTACACTATTCTGATGGTATAATAATTTCAAATAAAACTCCCAACTCTACTTAGAGAAGTAGCTAATAGTTCAACATAATGATAGACAGCTGTTTCTTTCCAATTCTTCATCCTTTTCAGTTAAGGTATTTGTATTATCACATTTATCCTGCTTCTCTGCTTACCTTTCTTTTCAGTTGCACTTTTTGGTGTTTTGTGCAAACATACCTAGCTTTCTATTTTTGTTCCTTTATCTTGACCTCCCATTTCTTATTCCCTTTTCCCATTTCTTCTTTGGTTCATTGGATATCTCTTCTAAGTTGGTCAAGTTTTCACTTCTAATGAATCTGATATTCTATCATACCTCCATCCCCTATTGTGCTGCCTGCCATTTGCTGGCACGCCCAATACTTTATTTCATTACATGTTGTTTTTCCTTGATTCTTTGGGACTACCATATTTCCGAAAACTCCAACCTCACAAACATCTCCTGCTACTGTCTTATGTTCTGACAGGATCAGTTTTTATTCTTGATCTGTTAAACATTTAAGCAGGGGTACAAGGAGCATTTTTTCCCACACAGACATCTTGACAACATTCATGGATGCATAAAATGTCATGATGTTTACTCTCTTTCCTTATGGAAGTATCTCATCTTCTGGAGGCAGCAAAGGTTGAACAGATTATTCCCTATTCACACATCATTTTTCTTTCTACTTTTTCTGTTAATGAAAATGAGGTATAAATGCTTTTGCATAGACAGTTGGTCCTTTACATTCATGAAGTTTTATTTGCCAATATAATTTTCCTCAGACTTGGCCTAATTACATATTAATACTTAGACACAAAAACTGAGTGTGAAAAAATAACAAACACCTGTAAAAGTACAAACAAGTAAAACTCAAAGTTCTAGAATATATACAAATATATAATATCGGTAAATACACCAGTGACTGTGGATATTCTCTTCCCATCCTCTTACTATCATAAATGGTGGGCAGCACTAGTCTCCATGGCCCCATCATTGTTAACATTAGCTTTAAGTTGCACCGCATATCATGCACAAATAAGTGTATTTTTGTGAAACCCAATTTTCTGTGTGATTTAAATAACCACTGATGTAGTTTTGGTCTTGAAAGTGATATAATCACTACATATTCTAGGATAAGACAGATGGATTATGTAATACCACCACTTAAGAAATATATTCTTTCATTACTTCTAATATAGTTATCATGTATCTATGTCTGGGGAATGATGCAACTCCAAAATTTACCTATAGACTACCTTAATAATACTAGCAACATGTACGGCACACATTACCAAAATGTTGATGAATATTAAGGACCAGCTGTATGTATGTTTCTTCACATACATGTATTTTCAATTTGCACATCTTACTTGCAAGAACTGTTCTATTTTTATTTTGACATACTTTACGGCCTTTGTCTCACTTTTTTTGTCTTACTCATATTTATAGTTAGAACATAAGTTTATACATATGTATTTTCTTCCTTTCATTGATCTTCTTAATATTTAGCTTTTTATTTCAGCCATCTGAACTAATGCCCTATAGGAAATCTGTTCTTTAGGGTTTACTCTCCATGGTTAACACCTTATTGCCCAGTCAGCAGGTATTTAGGAGCTCAGAGCAATCAATTGAAAGGCTAGGTGGTGCTATTTATTTTTTCTATGCACAATATATCTGACATTATTTGAATATTTCTCTATATGAATTTGCCATTCCCTTATTGCTATAATTCCGTGCCAGCATCCTAAAAGGAAATAACAATTTTCAATCCTTCAAATGAGGAATTCTAACTAATACCTTTGAAATAAAATAATGAGACAGAATTTTTCTAAGGACTAAGGAGAGCCGAGTCTCTGTCTGTATTCTGAAGATCCTGTGCCAAACGTTCCTCAATGGGTGAATACCCATCATAGGAGCTTGGGGGTCTTCCAGCGCCACAGTATTGGTCGCATCGACACACAGCACCACAACCATCCTTAGGGAAGAATAAAAAAGATAGAGAAATTAATTAAAAACATAAAAAAGACACTATGTTTTATCTGAATATGGATTTAAATAAAAACTGAAAATTATAATAAGAGTTTAAGTTCAAAATGACAAAGAAAATTCCACTCCTTTCCTATCAGTGACAAACAGCTTCTTTCTGGTGCTGTGCTATTGTCTCAGGATATTGTGATTCTCAATGTTCACTGCTTCTATAAAACATAATCATCACGAACACATAAGAAATGAAATATACAAACCCTGCTTCTATAAAACATAATCATCACGAACACATAAGAAATGAAATACATAAACCAGGATCATATTTAGCTCAACTGCACCAAATAACCTGCCCTTGACATACATAGACCAACTCTTCTATACTTACAGCCAGTTTGTTGCCAACTGTAAACCAGAATTCACGATTGGGGATTTGTTCAATGCCCTTTGCACCGCGCACTAACCGAAGGTAGAAGAAACCAAAGGTGAAATAAGCACAGAATGTCACCAGAACTCTGTAATATGATAAAAATAATATGGTGAACTAATTCATTAAAATATGTATAGTACCCTAAGCACCTAATAATTTAACATGAGACGGTTACAACTGTAACTCTAATAATAGTCATCAATATGTCTGAAACTTTTAATACCTGAAAAT